TATATATATATATATATATATATACATGTATATATATATATATATATATCCCATCTTCTTTTTTATTTTATTTTTTTATTTTTAATTTTTTAAAATTTCTTTTTCAGTGTACCAGAATTTATTTTTTAAATTTCTTTTCAATGTACCAGAATTCATTGTTTATGCACCACACCCAGTGCTCCATGCAATATGTGTCCTCCATAATACCCACCACCAGGCTCACCCAACCTCCCACCCCCTGCCCCTTCAAAACCCTCAGATTGTTTTTCAGAGTCCGTAGTCTCTCGTGGTTTGTCTCCCCCTCCAATTTCCCTCAACTCCCTTCTCCTCTCCATCTCCCCATGTCCTCCATGTTATTTCTTATGCTCCACAAATAAGTGAAACCATATGATATATCCCATCTTCTTTAGTCATTCATCTATCAGTGAACACTTATGTAGTGTTAACTTATAACTTATAGTTAACTTATATGTTAACTATTATAAATAATGTTACAGTAAACTTAGGGGCACATATATCTTTTCAAAGTAGTATTTTTATTTCCTTCAGGTAAATATCCAGTGGTGGAATTACTGGGTCATATGGTATTTCTATTTTTAATTTTTTGAGGAACCTCCATACTGTTTTCCACACTGGCTGCACCAAATCATATTCCTACTAACAGTTCATGAGGGTTCCTTTTTCACCACATGCTCACCAACACTTAATATTTCTTAGGTATTAGCCATTCTGACTGCTGTGAGGTGACACCTCAGGGCGGTTTTCATTTACACTTCCCTGGTGATTAAAGACATTTAACATCTTTTCATGTGTGTATTGGCCATCTGTATTCCTGCTTTGTGAAAAATGTCCATTTAGATCTTCTACCCATTTTTAGATTGAATTATTTGGTTTTGATAATGATTGTACAAGTTCTTTATATTTTTGGATATTAACCCCTCATCAGATTTATCATTTGCAAATATCTTCTCCCAATCAGTAGTTTGTTTTCTTATTTTGTTAAGGGTTTCCTTTTCTATATAGAAGCTTTTTAGTTTGATATAGTTCCCATTGTTTATTTTTCCTTTTGCTTCCCTTGCCTGGGGAGACAGATCCAGAGAAATATTGCTAAGGCTGATGTCCAAGATTTTACAGCCTATGTTTTCTTTTAGGAGTGTTATAGTTTCATGTTTTACATTTAGGTATTTAATCAATACAATTTGAGTTTATTTTCATGTATGATGTAAGAGTGGTCGAGTTTCATTCTTTTCCATGTAGCTGTCTGGTTTCCTCAGCACTATTTATTTATTTATTTATTTATTTTAAAGATTTTATTTATTTGTCAGAGAGAGAGGGAGAGAGAGCGAGCACAGGCAGACAGAATGGTAGGCAGAGGCAGAGGGAGAAGCAGGCTCCCCGCCGAGCAAGGAGCCCGATGTGGGACTCAATCCCAGGACACTGGGATCATGACCCAAGCCGAAGGCAGCTGCTTAACCAACTGAGCCACCCGGGTGCCCCAGCTCAGCACTATTTATTGAAGAGACTCCTCCCCATTGTATATTTTTTACTCTTTTGTCATAGATTAGTTGCAAGACTGGCTCTCTCCTCCCCAGGCAAGGAGTTGCTTTGGAGGGGCACTGGTATAGGCCAGGGCTGCCCAGCAGGTGTGGAGGAGCAACTGTCACTCTGAGGGGACTCTGGTCTCTGGACTCTGGCTGTAGTGGGAAGGGTACCTGCTAGATCTGGTCTGTAGGAGAATACCAGGGTGGGTCAAGCCATGCTAGCAAGGTCGATGGATAATGTTAGAAATGGCTCCACAAGAGTAGGACTATCTAGGCTATAGGAGGGCAAGAAAAATGGCTTCTACCTGCACTTGCATTCTAGGAGAAACTTCTACAGATCCTTACCCCCCAGGCATATGTTCTAAAATCAGACAGTAAATCTTTATATATAACCCAGGTGCTTTTCAAACTGCTGCCTCTGTGCTGGGTCTTGGACCAATTGATACCAACATTCTAGCTCTACATGGGTAGACACCTGGTTTCCTGTGGACCTTTGATTTTCCTGAAATTAGGTCCTGCTGATTTTCAAAGCCAGATTTCTTCTTGGTATAGGTCTCTAGGACCAAGGGTGTCTGATACAGGGCTTGATCCCCTCCACTCCTCAGGGATGACCTCCATGCCTGGAATCCTCTTCTTGCTTGTGAGGTGCTATGCCAGGGATTTGATTCCATTGCCTCTTGCCCCTTCCACCTCTCTCAGTGTGGCCTTCTTTTTATGTCTCTAGCTGTGGAACGTCAGTTTTGCTGGTCTTCATATCATTTTAAGAGTGAGGTGCACAATGTGCAGCTATAGCCTTGATATGTCTGTGGAAGGAGGTGAGGTCAGAATCTTTCTTTCTTTTTTTTTTTTTTTTAAGATTTTATTTATTTATTTGACAGAGATCACAAGCAGGCAGAGAGAGAGGAGAAAGCAGGCTCCCCGCGGAGCCGAGAGCCCGATATGGGGCTCAATCCCAGGACCCTGGGATCATGACCTGAGCTGAAGGCAGAGGCTTTAACCCACTGAGCCACCCAGGCACCCCGGTCAGAATCTTTCTGACACCATCTCCCCAAGATCCTTCTGAAAACTTATACTTAAAAAAAAAAAAAAAACAAACACACACACATTTAACATGTTTTGATCCTGTTGCAGTCATTCCTTTTGATACTCAAATTGTCCCATCTCCTTTAAGTTGGCCCCTGTGCCCTCTTGTCCTCTTGACATGAGTCTGGTAGCTTTTGATATCTTCTTTGTCCTCCAGAATGTTTCAGGCCATGTGGCTCCACAGACTAGGATCATGTATTTCTCCAAGGCAGTCTAAAAAGCCGTTTGTGTGTGTGTGTGTGTGTCTGTGTGTCTGTGTGGTGTGTGTGTTTAGAGATTTTACTTATTTATTTGAGAGAGAGAGAGAGAAGGGAGGAGGGCAAGCATGTGTGTGTTTAGAGATTTTACTTATTTATTTGAGAGAGAGAGAGAGAAGGGAGGAGGGCAAGCATGAGTGGGGGGAGGGGCAGAGGGAGAAGCAGGCTTCCTGATGAGCTGGGAGCCCAATGGAGGGCTCCATCCCAGGACCTTGGGACCATGACCTGAACCAAAGGCAGATACTTAACTGACTGAGCCATCCAGGCACCCCAGGTCATGGTTTTTGTTTTTTTTGTTTTTAATATTTTATTTATTTATTTGACAGACAGAGATCACAAGTAGGCAGAGAGGCAGGCAGAGGGAGGAGGAAGCAGGCTCCCTGCGGAGCAGAGAGTCTGATGCGGGGCTCGATCCCAGGACCCTGAGATTATGACCTGAGCCGAAGGCAGAGGCTTTAACCCACTGAGCCACCCAGGCGCCCCCCCGCCCCGGGTCATGTTTTTATGCTAAGAAATTTGAACATTTCCCTGAAAGTTATGGAAGCTATTTTAAGACATGGGAATCAGATGACCAATTTTGCATCAGAAGGATATCTTTGGTAGTTGAATGGGGGATGGAGTAGAGTGGGACCATGCTAGAACACTGAAAATGAATAAAAAGCTACTTAAGTTGAGCTTAGATAATGAAGGTGAAGAAGGATTAGTGAAACAGATTTAGAGTCAGACTCTAAAGGAGGTGATGACTGGTTGATTGGGGATATTGAGGAAGAGGAAGAGACATCGTACATACTTTTTACCTTTTTGACCGGATGGTTAGTGTTGCTCTGGAAAGGAAAAAGAGTAGGGTGGGGAAATGTGGTAAATATAGTTTGGCAGATACTACATTGGAATCATTTAGGGACCTTCAGAAGGAGAAGTCTAACAGACATGGGGATTAACAGACTTTTAGTGCTTTAGGTCACTGTTAGATAGGCAGATTCATGAATAGTCACAGACTGTGGGTTAGGATGATTTCTTTTACTATATGAAGGAAAAAGAAGAGACGACCAATGATAGACAGAGTCTGGCACACCTGGCATGGAATTTGTGAAATCAGGAGTCTAGTCCAGGCTTTATCATAAATTGATGAGCAAGATAACAGATCATTCCCTTTCCTTGATTTCAGCTTTTCCATCTGAAAAATAAGAATACATTACTGGCTAGCACATGTAGAGAAATATAAAGCTGGTTTGGAAAACTTTTAGTTTTTAAAAAGGACATTAATATGTGACACTTAAGCATGATTATCATTATACATTCCTTTTTTATACATTTGTCCTCAAGACTTTTGGGGGCAGTTCCATTGGAGAAGTGGGCTTTGGGTATTGGTTTCTGAAATTTATCTCTCCAAGCCTGAACGTTCAGCCTGGTTTGTGTTCCTGTTTCTGTCACAGCCCATCAGCTCTGTCAAGCCGATCTGCATGGAGGAGCTATCTGTGAACCAGGGGAATGGTCAGTCTTATGGGTACATACTTTATGAGACTGTGATCACCACCAGTGGCCTCCTTACCACAAAGAATCATGTTCAAGACCGAGGTCAGGTAAGGGACAGTGGATGGGTCCCAGTGGCGCTTCTCTGCTAGTAAAACCCAGTTGTGTTGCTGAGGTGAATATCTAAATGATAGTCAAATCTTTTTCACCTTCAAAAATTCATCACTGTTTCTTAACCTTTGTCTCTTCAGTGAAATGTTTGTTATGCGAGCTACTGTTGTCGTAGGTCTGAGGTTTGTGTTGCTTCCCAGGAAGGGAGCATATTCATTGAATCCTTATGGGAATTGATGGAGTTTTTTAAAGGAGACTCCAGAGGAGCTTCAGAAGTCCCTGTACTTAACTGCACAGCAATCCCTACATTTACACAGCACATTACAATGTGCTGCTCTCATTTAATTCTCAAAACACCCGTCTAAGATATTTGTGACAAATGAGAATACCTCAGAGAAGTTAAATGTCTTTCAGAGGATATTTGACTAGAAAACAGCAGAGCCGAGGGTAAAGACTTCATCATCTCACTCCCAAGTTAAGAGCTAGCAGAGTTGCCTCAGGTCTTGGTGAAATTCTCCTGCAAAGAGCCCTCTCTGTGCTGCCTGTATCTTCTCCCAAAGTTTCAGGCACTCCCCATGGTGACTCCAACCCTCCCCTCCTTATCCTGAGCTGCAGACCCAGATTCCTTGTTTGCTGAACATTTTTCTTCGCTTAGATATGTGTTCTGCTGGCTCCTCACACTCATCATGTTCAAAACCAAATTCATCACCCTCCTAAATAACCCTCATCCTGTACTCCTCACATCAATCATGGACTTGCAGCCTCCCCACCTGAAAATGCTGTTCCCCTCATCCTCTCTCCATACCTTATTCTCAGCTGGGACATGCTTGCTGCAATATGACTCAGTGGGTCTTCTCTCTAACTCCATGCCACCATGGCTTTAGAAGTTTCCCTGTATCTTGCCTCTACTACTATTAGAGTCTCATAACCAATCTTCCTTTTTCAGATAGCTCACCTTTCCCCTCCTCCTTATCAAATCCCTCCCTCACAGTGGCACCAGTTTCCTTCCCAAGGTAAAATTCTCAGCATGCCTCTTCCCCTGTCTACAGTCTTCCATTGATTTTTCCCAGTCCCCTGTCATCATTTTCGCCAAATAGCCTGGACTTGGCTGTGGATCAGGACTTGTCACTTTCTTCCCTGTGCTTCCGTGGCATTCTTCCTACAGTTCCATGTTAGCTATTGTGGAGTATCCTAAAAATTTATTTGTGTCACTCTCTGAGTTCCTCAATGGCTAGAGTTGTGTGTTAAGCTTGGTGACGCCTTGCTCCAGCCATTCAGTAGGTGTTTAACAAATGGTTATAGTGTATATAAACCTTGTGATTAGACTCTAAATAGCTTAAAATATAAATTCTGAATTTCATATAGTATTAATATTTGTGTTTTTAATATCTGTGGATTTTAATTTTTATAGTTTCCTAGTCAAACTTCATTTGAAAATTATGACCTGACTCAAATAATCTAAGGGGCAAATTTTATCTTTCTGTGGTCCTGCATGACTAGGACAGATTCTTCTGGGTGACTTATCTGAGCCTGAAGCAGTATAATAGATAACAGAAAAGAAAAGGATTTATGTCCAGGTCATTCTTAAAATGAGAAACAGTGGTGGCAGCAGCCTCTTCAGATAAGGGTCGGGGGAAGCCTGGAAGACTGGATCCATTATGAGAGTGAACCCAGGTAGGCAAGGCAGGCAGATGCCTCCTGCGCCTGGAGTCTCATCTTCCCTGTGATCATCACTTCTTTCACAAGATCCATTCAATCACAAGACTCATTCTCTACCTTCCTTTTCCCCTCATTCCCTGCAGGTCTTTTAAAAATTTTATTCTTTCCCTCCTTGTCCTATAGTACAGCAAGGCCCAGATTTGGTATTAGAACATCCTTCTCCAGACTTTGCCTCACACATCTCACAACTGTACTGCTTTGAATATGTTGTATTTTTGTCAACTCATAGTCTGCTTGTAATATTCTATGAGACAGAGTTAATCCTTCTCCTAGAACTTGCCTTTTCTTTGCTTTCCTAAGGACCATTTTATCCTTTTCCTTATGAGGACTTAATGGTGCTCTCCTCTTTCTTTGGCAGGTGTTTTTGGATGAGAACTTTTTAGGCATCTTCGATCGTTCCACTGATCAGCTGACTATTCCCAGGAAAATGGTATATAATCTAGTGTTGATGAACTAATACTTCAGTGCCCTGGCTTAATTGTAAGCGTGGCCTGACCTTGTGATAGCTTATTTTCTCCTCCACGGTTCTTTGAAATGTTCCCAGCTTAAGAGCCTAGCAGGGGTGCAGGAGAGCTGTATGTGCTTCTAAAGTACAAGTGTCTATGCTTTGGGTGAGCAGAACTTCAACAAGTTGGATATTTGCTGCTCAGAAGCTCTAGGTTTGTCACCTGCCTCAAAAATCTCTAGTGAAATGTTTGAGTGACTGTTTTCTGAAAGGCCTAGTATGGGGGTGAGGGTGAGGGTGGAGTAAGTAGGAAGGGCAAGAGCCTAAGGGTTTACTTGACCCAGAGCTGGAGGTCTGCAGGCTTTTGAGGCCTGCTGTCTGTCAGTCACCCTGCTTACAATCTCATCTGAGTTTCAGAGAAGACTTAAGAGGTCTATAGAAAAGTTCTCTGAGTGGTACCCACTGTGGCTTGTCTATCTTGAACAGGTCTACAACGATAACCCAACACTGAGGATCCTGGTGGAGAATCAAGGCCGCCTTGCCTATGGTCAGGACATCAATAAGGAGAGAAAAGGTAGGCCTCCTTCCTTCCAAGGGTGAAGAAGTTTGAGACCTTGAGGCATCAAATTCCATTGCTCTTATTGTAAGCTGGACAGTCATGGCCAGGTGTATGATTTACTGGACAGCAGTATCTCTGCTGTATGTTGGACATAGAGGCATGCTCTAAGAAGTGTACATGTATAACAGAAGGAAGAACTTATGTAAGATTTTGCAGAAACCTTCCATTTGATAAAGGCAGGAAAACATCTTCCTTCGGGGGGAGACCTGGCCACAACCTGTTTACATCTCTGTGTTCACATCTCTGCTTGCCTTCTTCATGTTCCTTTTATTCCCTCTTTTGTAGGTTTAATTGGGGATATCTACCTGAACAAATCTCCTTTAAGAAATTTTAAAATCCATAGCCTGGATATGAAAACTAAATTTATACAAAGGTGGGTGCCAGACCATCAACTCAAGGTGATTGATCAAAGATGGTTCTGATTTAGAGATGGAAAGAAGCTCAGAGACCATGCAGATTAACCTCCTTTGTTTTCAGATAGGAGAGATGAGACCCACAGTGTTGAAGGAAATGACCCCAAGTGTCATAGTTGTCTGGGGCAGAGTGATGAACATCCCCTCCTTCATGCAACTCCTGGTCTGCTGATCTTTTTGTTTGTTTGTTTTTTCTGCATCATATCCCCTTAGAGGCATGTGCCTATGCTGTAGGAGGAATGCCAGGCTTGGGAACAAAGGGGACTTACCTCAAAAATCACAGCTGACACACAAAGAAGGGCATGACCTTTCCATTGGTGTTTGATTTCCTCTTAGGGACCTTCCTAACATCTGGAAACCAGCTGTATTCAAACATCGGGGCCCTGCCTTCTTCCTCGGTATCCTGAGAATAGGTAATGACCCCAGAGACACCTTCATAAAAATGGAGGTTAGTGATATTTCTCCCCTGCCTATTCCCCTATGCCCCCATCTGAAAAGGATCTTTGAGAAAAAGCTCCTTGGTACATGGGCCCTATCCTGTGAAAGGAAATGTAGGCTTCCTGGGACATCAGCCACTCCACAGCATTCTGGAGGCTGTCCCTTCCCTGGTGTTGACAAGGATGAGGAGTAGATGCTTAACAAATGCAACAGAGACATAAGTAGTGTGTTCTAGTGCAGACAGCTGTAGAGTCTACTACATGAAGAATTTAGTGAGTGTGGTTCACTTGTCCCCAGACATAATCCAAGACATTGAGATCCTCAACCCCTTAGAACACACATCCAATCTGTGGTGGGGATGTTGAGATTTTAATGCATATGTACAGCCACCCCAAAATTCTACAATTCAGACTTTGTTTGGGGCTCAGCATGTTTTGGTAAATGCCTGATGGTCAATGGAAGGACCCTTCCCTGACTTGGGACAGATGAGTTAGAAAACAGTACCTTCCTTCTTGAGGCCTAGGTGTTGAGCCAACCCCAGGCCAGGGGCAATAACATAGACCTCTCCAGGTAACCTTCCATTTAAGGCCATGTGTGGTAATCCACTCCATCTATGTGTATCTATGACTGTGATCAGATGTGTTTATGGGGTATGTGTGTCTTCACCCTTGTGTCATTACATCTAGAACTCAGGTCTTGAATCCTTCATTCCAATCTTCTTCAGGGCTGGACAAAAGGTGTAATATTCATCAATGGAAAGAATCTGGGACGCTACTGGAATATAGGTCCCCAGGAGACCTTTTACCTTCCAGGACCCTGGCTTCGTCCTGGATCAAATGAGGTAATGTCCCCCCTACACCTCCCTCATCCCAGTCCACTTCATTTGGCCTTTGCCTTGCAACGAGTCAGAACTTGAATCTCATGGCCACCCCACCTCCTTTCTCTTCACAGATCATTGTGTTTGAGGAGTTTAAACCTGGCCTGGAGATCCACTTCACAAACATATCTCGTCTAGGTATGATATTCAAGAGGGTAAATTTGCAGCATCTCAGTCAATCCTTCTGGGTCTTTCTAACTGAGCTAGAGATAAAGAAGTCAGAATGTACTATCTCCCAGGAACCTGAACACCTCCTCACTGCCTTTGCTTAATAGCCAGGTTTTCTCTTTTACCTGGTATAGCTCTACTCATCACCTCCCATTTCCAAGTGACCTGACTAGCTCACTCCTCTAACAGCCTTAACCCAACTCCCTGGGCCTCCCTTCCTTCCAGATGTTTCCAGTGTGCTGTCTGGATCCCTCCCTCATTGTAAACCAAGGTCCCAACATTTTCTACTTCTTGCCTTTTCTGAAATATGCTTCCTACTGCTCTCTCTTGTGCTGCCATGTATGGTCATTCCTAAGCACTTTTCCTGGTACCATTTCTCAGGTTGCCAAAGGGAGGGACTGCATGGCCCAGTCACCACAGGTGAGAAGGTTGCAGTCTCTGTGCCTGCCCATTGGTGTCTGTATGCCCAGCTTTCCTGATCCTTATGTTGGTAGTAGGATCCAGAGGTCTTTTTGGAGAATCACCCTTGTTCCCTTCATTAGAGACTTTGTGGGACTGATAATCACGCTGCCCTTTCTTCCAACCTGCAACTGTCCTTCCCTGCCAGGGGTGGGCATGTGATGTACAGTAGACTAATCAGACTTTCTTTTCCAGGATATTGAATCTTGAGTGTTGTGACATAATGTATGAAATTGATTGAGATGAATCACTTCAACAGTGGGGCTGTGAGTAACCTACCCATCCTGATAACTCCATTGCTGAAACTACCCTGGCTTCTCCACTTAACCAATGGTTTGGTTTGGGCCTACCATCCACTTCCTAATTTGCCAGTCGTTCCTCTTTTGGCATAGGTTAGCTAACCTTTTTCTGATGCTCATTACACAATAGACCTACTTAGTGCATACCCTTTATCATACTGCTACAATAAAGGCTGTTTGACCACCAAATAAAATGCTGAAAAAATGAGATGCTCAGAATACTTGACCCCACAAATGTAAATTTGAAGCAAAAGTGATCTTTTGAAGAAATCGAATAAAATGTAAACATTAATGCAGTTCATATACACTCTGTGTTTTCTATGTATTTTTTTAAAAAAAAGGTATTTTCCTTTTACCCTCCAGTTCTTATTCCATACCATACCACTGGCTTTTCTATAGTCAGGGGAAAGCCCTGCTTCTTTGAGACTCATGACACCAACTGCCTGGTCTGGTGCCTCCTTGTCACCTTATTATTCTTTACCCACCACCTGACTACCACCTTTGGTACCTGATATGCTACTCTTCTTGAGTCCATGTTGTTCTCCCAGTCCTCTGGGTGCTGCAAACCTTTTGAGCCATAGTGAGAGCACGGGAGCCATTTAAGTGTTGGAGATGCATCAACTGTCTGGACAGGCAAAGGGGAGATCTGTGGAGCTTTACTTTCTAAAGCTGCTGCAAATTTCGGCATGGTATAAACTGGCCCTGGGGTTAGCTGACAGGCTTCCGGGAAGCTTGGGAGAGTGGGTCACCATGAAGGTGAGCTGTCATTGCATCAAGGGCTGTCGAGACTTCCAAGCCAAGACCATGAGGAATCATAGCCAGATTTCAGGCCAGTTGTATAAGAGGCTGCATTCCTCCTAGAATCAAGATCCTGAGTCCACTCTTTGCATCTGCAAAAGCCAGGGGACCAGCAGCACCCATGTGGACCAGGACTTCCATAGCCCAAGGATGTTGGAGAGCATGATCTCCCTGCTTGATGCTTCCTTCACTTTCCATCCCACCACCACATCTCTCAGTTCAAACCTGCCAAGGAGGAAAGAGCAAGCCGGCAACAAGGCTTCTTTCCTCTATCTCTTGTTTCTCCTCTCACCATAACCCAGAACTGGAAAGTATCAACGGTCCTGTATCATAGCCTCTGACTTTCCATAGAGCATAAGCCTTAGTTTGGACATCACCTGGAGGGCTTGTTAAAGCACAGATTGCTGGTCTCCTTTCCCAGAATTTCTAGTTCAGTAGTTCTTAGGTGGGGGGCCTGATGATTTGCATTTTTACCAAGTTCCTAGGTGATGGCAATAATGCTGGTCTGAGGACCACACTTTGAGCATCTTTGTCATAGAGCAGGATCTCAGCCTGTCTCAACACTGTTACTCTTTTGGGCCAGATAAGTCTGTGTGACAGGAGCTGCCTGAATATTGCAGGACGTTGAACAGCATCCCCGGTCTCTATGCACTACATGCTGGTAGCACAACCCTCTTAGTTATGACAACCAAAATGTGTGCAGATACTACCCAGATTTCCTCTAGAGGCAAAAATCCCTCCAGGAGAGAAATGCATACCAGGTTCTCCTAGTCAGAACCTACCTCACAGGAAAGAGCTAGAAGTTGGGAGCCTTGGGGATTAAACTTTTATAAATAAAAGGCAACGATGGGGCGCCTGGGTGTCTCAGTGGGTTAAAGCCTCTGCCTTTGGCTCAGGTCGTGATCCCAGGGTCCTGGGATCGAGCCCCGCATCGGGCTCTCTGCTCAGCAGCGAGCCTGCTTCCTCCTCTCTCTGCCTGCCTCTCTGCCTACTTGTGATCTCTGTCTGTCAAATAAATAAATAAATAAATAAATAAATAAATTTTAAAAAAATAAAATAAAAGGCAACGATGACAGAATCTGGGAAATCTTCTTTCAGGATAATAATAGTCTATGACTCTGTTTTTCTTCTGCATAATCCTAGTTCTGAATGACAGAAACAGCTTATTCTTTCTTTTTTGTACTACTTTTGAAAGAAATTCTAATATCCTCATAGATTAATGGATTCCTAGTGTAAACTGGGGTTAAAGTCCTATAGGGGATAGACTGAAAAGAAAAATCACATGACATTTTTACAAATATTATCCCTTTACCTCTATAAATAAGCACAATATGGTGTGTTGCTATAAGAGGCACAGCGCATTACTGGTGTCTGGTCTTCATGATTCCTTAAGATCCCAGGTAATATAGACAGCACTTAGGCCAGTCAAATATTCTTACCTAGTCTATGCTATCTTACTGGAAGAAGCTTTAATGGTGATTTAATGTTATTTTTCCCCCAGATAACCAGAAGTTAGTGCCTTGGGTGAAATACCGGGTTAATTAATAGCCTAATTGCAATTTCTCTATCCAAGTGAGTTGCTAATTAATAGCCTAAATGCAATTTCTCTATCCAAGTGAATATTTGTCCTTCTTTAATTGTTGTATCTTTAGGGTCCATCAGTGTTAAACACTGAGATACTCAAGCAAAATTTAGTGACACTGAATATTTTCACCTAGATTCTGTCAAAAAGCTCAAACAGAAAGACTAAGTGCCTGTTCTGTTCTTCTAGGGGCAGGTTGAAGAGGTTGAGGACTGACAGAGAAGTCTGTCCTCTCCTATATAATACAGATGTCTTTGTATAGTAGGCAATATTTCTGTCCATAAGCTTCCTACACTTCTAGCCTTAGGAACACAAATCTGTCCGGGAAGGGAGTGGAGCACCTGAAACCGTTCTGTAATCTGCTAAACACTTAGCTGGTTTCTAGATGTCCTTTCTCTCTCTCTGTCTCTCAGCAACCTAAATTTATGCAGGAATACGAACTCTGCTCAGTTTTTGACAAATCCGTGGAAGGAGAGAAAGTTAATCAACATGGGGCCCGGAGGGTCTTTATGCTTGTTACCCTCTGTAAACTTGCTGTCCCTCAGGCGATAGCTCTCCATTGCTATGCCAGTGTAACATCATCAAGGTCACAGCCATCTGCAGCCAGGCCCAGCTCCTCCCTGACACCTCAAATCTAGCTGATAACAGACTCCCATTCCTGGCTTACTAATATTTGGATGAGCAAAGGTCTCATGGGTTTGACAAACCAGGAGAAATCCCGAGTGGCAGTCATCCAAATTCTGAAGATACAACAAAATCAACCCAATAGAGAACTTTGTATTCTGGAGACAGGTGTGGTAGATTCATTTGTCACCTAACCATCAGAGCACCATCCTCTGAGTTCACTTTAGTAGCTCTTGCCCCTAGACTCGGCGACAGACCCTCCATGACTGTGCAGCACAGACTGGAAGGGAGGCTCCTCAGGGAGACAGGACAGGCAGCAGTCCCTGCAGGAGCTGGGGTGCATTTCTGCTTGATTACACCACTTGCAGTAAGAGTCCTTTCAGTAAAAGCAGGGCATTTCCTCTTGATACTTTGCTTACTGAAACCCATGAAAAGGAAGAGTGAACCCACATCTTATGGAAAGAAGACATTACATCAAATAACAGGTCCAGGATCCAAATAGATTTAAGAAAGGGGCCTAATGCTCTTGACCTGTATGATAGTGGTTCTTCACTCTTGGTGTGTATCAGCTCACCTGGAGAACTAATAAAAAATATAGTGGTCCAGACTTACTGAAGTAGCATGAAGCCTACAACTCATAGTCTTACCAAGTTCCCCAGGTGATGCTGATAAACACCAAAACTTGAGAACATTGCTCTAGGGCGCTAGTTCTAAACTTGTCTATACATTAGAATCATCTGGGGAAGTTTATAAAAATAATGTTTAGGTCCCACCTCCAAAGGATTTGATTTGATAGGTCTGGAATATAGTGTAGATATCAAGTTTTCTAAAAAATATTTAATTATTAATTCACTTAAAAATAAATTCAATAAACTCATTTTTTATTAAAAAATTTTAAAGTATACTTTAAAAGTTCAGTGAGAAATATATCATTGTTTTACATTTTGGCAAATGTCTTTAGGCTAAATAGATGATACCTGGATTCTCATATGTGCTTCTAGATTCAATCCACTGCATTATGTTGTTTTTGTTGAAGCATATGAAGAAAATCCAGCTTAACACAGATACGTAACTGGAAAAAGGAGAAGTGTTTTAACAGTCTTCAAAGGAAATTATTTTGGATATTCTTTGGTGTTACACCAAAATGTTACAAGAAGTAGTTTCTTTTTTTTTTTTTTTAAAGATTTTTTATTTATTTATTTATTCGACAGAGAGAGATCACAAGTAGACAGAGAGGCAGGCAGAGAGAGAGAGAGAGAGAGAGGGAAGCAGGCTCCCTGCTGAGCAGAGAGCCTGTGTGTGTTTAGAGATTTTACTTATTTATTTGAGAGAGAGAGAGAGAAGGGAGGAGGGCAAGCATGTGTGTGTTTAGAGATTTTACTTATTTATTTGAGAGAGAGAGAGAGAAGGGAGGAGGGCAAGCATGAGTGGGGGGAGGGGCAGAGGGAGAAGCAGGCTTCCTGATGAGCTGGGAGCCCAATGGAGGGCTCCATCCCAGGACCTTGGGACCATGACCTGAACCAAAGGCAGATACTTAACTGACTGAGCCATCCAGGCACCCCAGGTCATGGTTTTTGTTTTTTTTGTTTTTAATATTTTATTTATTTATTTGACAGACAGAGATCACAAGTAGGCAGAGAGGCAGGCAGAGGGAGGAGGAAGCAGGCTCCCTGCGGAGCAGAGAGTCTGATGCGGGGCTCGATCCCAGGACCCTGAGATTATGACCTGAGCCGAAGGCAGAGGCTTTAACCCACTGAGCCACCCAGGCGCCCCCCCGCCCCGGGTCATGTTTTTATGCTAAGAAATTTGAACATTTCCCTGAAAGTTATGGAAGCTATTTTAAGACATGGGAATCAGATGACCAATTTTGCATCAGAAGGATATCTTTGGTAGTTGAATGGGGGATGGAGTAGAGTGGGACCATGCTAGAACACTGAAAATGAATAAAAAGCTACTTAAGTTGAGCTTAGATAATGAAGGTGAAGAAGGATTAGTGAAACAGATTTAGAGTCAGACTCTAAAGGAGGTGATGACTGGTTGATTGGGGATATTGAGGAAGAGGAAGAGACATCGTACATACTTTTTACCTTTTTGACCGGATGGTTAGTGTTGCTCTGGAAAGGAAAAAGAGTAGGGTGGGGAAATGTGGTAAATATAGTTTGGCAGATACTACATTGGAATCATTTAGGGACCTTCAGAAGGAGAAGTCTAACAGACATGGGGATTAACAGACTTTTAGTGCTTTAGGTCACTGTTAGATAGGCAGATTCATGAATAGTCACAGACTGTGGGTTAGGATGATTTCTTTTACTATATGAAGGAAAAAGAAGAGACGACCAATGATAGACAGAGTCTGGCACACCTGGCATGGAATTTGTGAAATCAGGAGTCTAGTCCAGGCTTTATCATAAATTGATGAGCAAGATAACAGATCATTCCCTTTCCTTGATTTCAGCTTTTCCATCTGAAAAATAAGAATACATTACTGGCTAGCACATGTAGAGAAATATAAAGCTGGTTTGGAAAACTTTTAGTTTTTAAAAAGGACATTAATATGTGACACTTAAGCATGATTATCATTATACATTCCTTTTTTATACATTTGTCCTCAAGACTTTTGGGGGCAGTTCCATTGGAGAAGTGGGCTTTGGGTATTGGTTTCTGAAATTTATCTCTCCAAGCCTGAACGTTCAGCCTGGTTTGTGTTCCTGTTTCTGTCACAGCCCATCAGCTCTGTCAAGCCGATCTGCATGGAGGAGCTATCTGTGAACCAGGGGAATGGTCAGTCTTATGGGTACATACTTTATGAGACTGTGATCACCACCAGTGGCCTCCTTACCACAAAGAATCATGTTCAAGACCGAGGTCAGGTAAGGGACAGTGGATGGGTCCCAGTGGCGCTTCTCTGCTAGTAAAACCCAGTTGTGTTGCTGAGGTGAATATCTAAATGATAGTCAAATCTTTTTCACCTTCAAAAATTCATCACTGTTTCTTAACCTTTGTCTCTTCAGTGAAATGTTTGTTATGCGAGCTACTGTTGTCGTAGGTCTGAGGTTTGTGTTGCTTCCCAGGAAGGGAGCATATTCATTGAATCCTTATGGGAATTGATGGAGTTTTTTAAAGGAGACTCCAGAGGAGCTTCAGAAGTCCCTGTACTTAACTGCACAGCAATCCCTACATTTACACAGCACATTACAATGTGCTGCTCTCATTTAATTCTCAAAACACCCGTCTAAGATATTTGTGACAAATGAGAATACCTCAGAGAAGTTAAATGTCTTTCAGAGGATATTTGACTAGAAAACAGCAGAGCCGAGGGTAAAGACTTCATCATCTCACTCCCAAGTTAAGAGCTAGCAGAGTTGCCTCAGGTCTTGGTGAAATTCTCCTGCAAAGAGCCCTCTCTGTGCTGCCTGTATCTTCTCCCAAAGTTTCAGGCACTCCCCATGGTGACTCCAACCCTCCCCTCCTTATCCTGAGCTGCAGACCCAGATTCCTTGTTTGCTGAACATTTTTCTTCGCTTAGATATGTGTTCTGCTGGCTCCTCACACTCATCATGTTCAAAACCAAATTCATCACCCTCCTAAATAACCCTCATCCTGTACTCCTCACATCAATCATGGACTTGCAGCCTCCCCACCTGAAAATGCTGTTCCCCTCATCCTCTCTCCATACCTTATTCTCAGCTGGGACATGCTTGCTGCAATATGACTCAGTGGGTCTTCTCTCTAACTCCATGCCACCATGGCTTTAGAAGTTTCCCTGTATCTTGCCTCTACTACTATTAGAGTCTCATAACCAATCTTCCTTTTTCAGATAGCTCACCTTTCCCCTCCTCCTTATCAAATCCCTCCCTCACAGTGGCACCAGTTTCCTTCCCAAGGTAAAATTCTCAGCATGCCTCTTCCCCTGTCTACAGTCTTCCATTGATTTTTCCCAGTCCCCTGTCATCATTTTCGCCAAATAGCCTGGACTTGGCTGTGGATCAGGACTTGTCACTTTCTTCCCTGTGCTTCCGTGGCATTCTTCCTACAGTTCCATGTTAGCTATTGTGGAGTATCCTAAAAATTTATTTGTGTCACTCTCTGAGTTCCTCAATGGCTAGAGTTGTGTGTTAAGCTTGGTGACGCCTTGCTCCAGCCATTCAGTAGGTGTTTAACAAATGGTTATAGTGTATATAAACCTTGTGATTAGACTCTAAATAGCTTAAAATATAAATTCTGAATTTCATATAGTATTAATATTTGTGTTTTTAATATCTGTGGATTTTAATTTTTATAGTTTCCTAGTCAAACTTCATTTGAAAATTATGACCTGACTCAAATAATCTAAGGGGCAAATTTTATCTTTCTGTGGTCCTGCATGACTAGGACAGATTCTTCTGGGTGACTTATCTGAGCCTGAAGCAGTATAATAGATAACAGAAAAGAAAAGGATTTATGTCCAGGTCATTCTTAAAATGAGAAACAGTGGTGGCAGCAGCCTCTTCAGATAAGGGTCGGGGGAAGCCTGGAAGACTGGATCCATTATGAGAGTGAACCCAGGTAGGCAAGGCAGGCAGATGCCTCCTGCGCCTGGAGTCTCATCTTCCCTGTGATCATCACTTCTTTCACAAGATCCATTCAATCACAAGACTCATTCTCTACCTTCCTTTTCCCCTCATTCCCTGCAGGTCTTTTAAAAATTTTATTCTTTCCCTCCTTGTCCTATAGTACAGCAAGGCCCAGATTTGGTATTAGAACATCCTTCTCCAGACTTTGCCTCACACATCTCACAACTGTACTGCTTTGAATATGTTGTATTTTTGTCAACTCATAGTCTGCTTGTAATATTCTATGAGACAGAGTTAATCCTTCTCCTAGAACTTGCCTTTTCTTTGCTTTCCTAAGGACCATTTTATCCTTTTCCTTATGAGGACTTAATGGTGCTCTCCTCTTTCTTTGGCAGGTGTTTTTGGATGAGAACTTTTTAGGCATCTTCGATCGTTCCACTGATCAGCTGACTATTCCCAGGAAAATGGTATATAATCTAGTGTTGATGAACTAATACTTCAGTGCCCTGGCTTAATTGTAAGCGTGGCCTGACCTTGTGATAGCTTATTTTCTCCTCCACGGTTCTTTGAAATGTTCCCAGCTTAAGAGCCTAGCAGGGGTGCAGGAGAGCTGTATGTGCTTCTAAAGTACAAGTGTCTATGCTTTGGGTGAGCAGAACTTCAACAAGTTGGATATTTGCTGCTCAGAAGCTCTAGGTTTGTCACCTGCCTCAAAAATCTCTAGTGAAATGTTTGAGTGACTGTTTTCTGAAAGGCCTAGTATGGGGGTGAGGGTGAGGGTGGAGTAAGTAGGAAGGGCAAGAGCCTAAGGGTTTACTTGACCCAGAGCTGGAGGTCTGCAGGCTTTTGAGGCCTGCTGTCTGTCAGTCACCCTGCTTACAATCTCATCTGAGTTTCAGAGAAGACTTAAGAGGTCTATAGAAAAGTTCTCTGAGTGGTACCCACTGTGGCTTGTCTATCTTGAACAGGTCTACAACGATAACCCAACACTGAGGATCCTGGTGGAGAATCAAGGCCGCCTTGCCTATGGTCAGGACATCAATAAGGAGAGAAAAGGTAGGCCTCCTTCCTTCCAAGGGTGAAGAAGTTTGAGACCTTGAGGCATCAAATTCCATTGCTCTTATTGTAAGCTGGACAGTCATGGCCAGGTGTATGATTTACTGGACAGCAGTATCTCTGCTGTATGTTGGACATAGAGGCATGCTCTAAGAAGTGTACATGTATAACAGAAGGAAGAACTTATGTAAGATTTTGCAGAAACCTTCCATTTGATAAAGGCAGGAAAACATCTTCCTTCGGGGGGAGACCTGGCCACAACCTGTTTACATCTCTGTGTTCACATCTCTGCTTGCCTTCTTCATGTTCCTTTTATTCCCTCTTTTGTAGGTTTAATTGGGGATATCTACCTGAACAAATCTCCTTTAAGAAATTTTAAAATCCATAGCCTGGATATGAAAACTAAATTTATACAAAGGTGGGTGCCAGACCATCAACTCAAGGTGATTGATCAAAGATGGTTCTGATTTAGAGATGGAAAGAAGCTCAGAGACCATGCAGATTAACCTCCTTTGTTTTCAGATAGGAGAGATGAGACCCACAGTGTTGAAGGAAATGACCCCAAGTGTCATAGTTGTCTGGGGCAGAGTGATGAACATCCCCTCCTTCATGCAACTCCTGGTCTGCTGATCTTTTTGTTTGTTTGTTTTTTCTGCATCATATCCCCTTAGAGGCATGTGCCTATGCTGTAGGAGGAATGCCAGGCTTGGGAACAAAGGGGACTTACCTCAAAAATCACAGCTGACACACAAAGAAGGGCATGACCTTTCCATTGGTGTTTGATTTCCTCTTAGGGACCTTCCTAACATCTGGAAACCAGCTGTATTCAAACATCGGGGCCCTGCCTTCTTCCTCGGTATCCTGAGAATAGGTAATGACCCCAGAGACACCTTCATAAAAATGGAGGTTAGTGATATTTCTCCCCTGCCTATTCCCCTATGCCCCCATCTGAAAAGGATCTTTGAGAAAAAGCTCCTTGGTACATGGGCCCTATCCTGTGAAAGGAAATGTAGGCTTCCTGGGACATCAGCCACTCCACAGCATTCTGGAGGCTGTCCCTTCCCTGGTGTTGACAAGGATGAGGAGTAGATGCTTAACAAATGCAACAGAGACATAAGTAGTGTGTTCTAGTGCAGACAGCTGTAGAGTCTACTACATGAAGAATTTAGTGAGTGTGGTTCACTTGTCCCCAGACATAATCCAAGACATTGAGATCCTCAACCCCTTAGAACACACATCCAATCTGTGGTGGGGATGTTGAGATTTTAATGCATATGTACAGCCACCCCAAAATTCTACAATTCAGACTTTGTTTGGGGCTCAGCATGTTTTGGTAAATGCCTGATGGTCAATGGAAGGACCCTTCCCTGACTTGGGACAGATGAGTTAGAAAACAGTACCTTCCTTCTTGAGGCCTAGGTGTTGAGCCAACCCCAGGCCAGGGGCAATAACATAGACCTCTCCAGGTAACCTTCCATTTAAGGCCATGTGTGGTAATCCACTCCATCTATGTGTATCTATGACTGTGATCAGATGTGTTTATGGGGTATGTGTGTCTTCACCCTTGTGTCATTACATCTAGAACTCAGGTCTTGAATCCTTCATTCCAATCTTCTTCAGGGCTGGACAAAAGGTGTAATATTCATCAATGGAAAGAATCTGGGACGCTACTGGAATATAGGTCCCCAGGAGACCTTTTACCTTCCAGGACCCTGGCTTCGTCCTGGATCAAATGAGGTAATGTCCCCCCTACACCTCCCTCATCCCAGTCCACTTCATTTGGCCTTTGCCTTGCAACGAGTCAGAACTTGAATCTCATGGCCACCCCACCTCCTTTCTCTTCACAGATCATTGTGTTTGAGGAGTTTAAACCTGGCCTGGAGATCCACTTCACAAACATATCTCGTCTAGGTATGATATTCAAGAGGGTAAATTTGCAGCATCTCAGTCAATCCTTCTGGGTCTTTCTAACTGAGCTAGAGATAAAGAAGTCAGAATGTACTATCTCCCAGGAACCTGAACACCTCCTCACTGCCTTTGCTTAATAGCCAGGTTTTCTCTTTTACCTGGTATAGCTCTACTCATCACCTCCCATTTCCAAGTGACCTGACTAGCTCACTCCTCTAACAGCCTTAACCCAACTCCCTGGGCCTCCCTTCCTTCCAGATGTTTCCAGTGTGCTGTCTGGATCCCTCCCTCATTGTAAACCAAGGTCCCAACATTTTCTACTTCTTGCCTTTTCTGAAATATGCTTCCTACTGCTCTCTCTTGTGCTGCCATGTATGGTCATTCCTAAGCACTTTTCCTGGTACCATTTCTCAGGTTGCCAAAGGGAGGGACTGCATGGCCCAGTCACCACAGGTGAGAAGGTTGCAGTCTCTGTGCCTGCCCATTGGTGTCTGTATGCCCAGCTTTCCTGATCCTTATGTTGGTAGTAGGATCCAGAGGTCTTTTTGGAGAATCACCCTTGTTCCCTTCATTAGAGACTTTGTGGGACTGATAATCACGCTGCCCTTTCTTCCAACCTGCAACTGTCCTTCCCTGCCAGGGGTGGGCATGTGATGTACAGTAGACTAATCAGACTTTCTTTTCCAGGATATTGAATCTTGAGTGTTGTGACATAATGTATGAAATTGATTGAGATGAATCACTTCAACAGTGGGGCTGTGAGTAACCTACCCATCCTGATAACTCCATTGCTGAAACTACCCTGGCTTCTCCACTTAACCAATGGTTTGGTTTGGGCCTACCATCCACTTCCTAATTTGCCAGTCGTTCCTCTTTTGGCATAGGTTAGCTAACCTTTTTCTGATGCTCATTACACAATAGACCTACTTAGTGCATACCCTTTATCATACTGCTACAATAAAGGCTGTTTGACCACCAAATAAAATGCTGAAAAAATGAGATGCTCAGAATACTTGACCCCACAAATGTAAATTTGAAGCAAAAGTGATCTTTTGAAGAAATCGAATAAAATGTAAACATTAATGCAGTTCATATACACTCTGTGTTTTCTATGTATTTTTTTAAAAAAAAGGTATTTTCCTTTTACCCTCCAGTTCTTATTCCATACCATACCACTGGCTTTTCTATAGTCAGGGGAAAGCCCTGCTTCTTTGAGACTCATGACACCAACTGCCTGGTCTGGTGCCTCCTTGTCACCTTATTATTCTTTACCCACCACCTGACTACCACCTTTGGTACCTGATATGCTACTCTTCTTGAGTCCATGTTGTTCTCCCAGTCCTCTGGGTGCTGCAAACCTTTTGAGCCATAGTGAGAGCACGGGAGCCATTTAAGTGTTGGAGATGCATCAACTGTCTGGACAGGCAAAGGGGAGATCTGTGGAGCTTTACTTTCTAAAGCTGCTGCAAATTTCGGCATGGTATAAACTGGCCCTGGGGTTAGCTGACAGGCTTCCGGGAAGCTTGGGAGAGTGGGTCACCATGAAGGTGAGCTGTCATTGCATCAAGGGCTGTCGAGACTTCCAAGCCAAGACCATGAGGAATCATAGCCAGATTTCAGGCCAGTTGTATAAGAGGCTGCATTCCTCCTAGAATCAAGATCCTGAGTCCACTCTTTGCATCTGCAAAAGCCAGGGGACCAGCAGCACCCATGTGGACCAGGACTTCCATAGCCCAAGGATGTTGGAGAGCATGATCTCCCTGCTTGATGCTTCCTTCACTTTCCATCCCACCACCACATCTCTCAGTTCAAACCTGCCAAGGAGGAAAGAGCAAGCCGGCAACAAGGCTTCTTTCCTCTATCTCTTGTTTCTCCTCTCACCATAACCCAGAACTGGAAAGTATCAACGGTCCTGTATCATAGCCTCTGACTTTCCATAGAGCATAAGCCTTAGTTTGGACATCACCTGGAGGGCTTGTTAAAGCACAGATTGCTGGTCTCCTTTCCCAGAATTTCTAGTTCAGTAGTTCTTAGGTGGGGGGCCTGATGATTTGCATTTTTACCAAGTTCCTAGGTGATGGCAATAATGCTGGTCTGAGGACCACACTTTGAGCATCTTTGTCATAGAGCAGGATCTCAGCCTGTCTCAACACTGTTACTCTTTTGGGCCAGATAAGTCTGTGTGACAGGAGCTGCCTGAATATTGCAGGACGTTGAACAGCATCCCCGGTCTCTATGCACTACATGCTGGTAGCACAACCCTCTTAGTTATGACAACCAAAATGTGTGCAGATACTACCCAGATTTCCTCTAGAGGCAAAAATCCCTCCAGGAGAGAAATGCATACCAGGTTCTCCTAGTCAGAACCTACCTCACAGGAAAGAGCTAGAAGTTGGGAGCCTTGGGGATTAAACTTTTATAAATAAAAGGCAACGATGGGGCGCCTGGGTGTCTCAGTGGGTTAAAGCCTCTGCCTTTGGCTCAGGTCGTGATCCCAGGGTCCTGGGATCGAGCCCCGCATCGGGCTCTCTGCTCAGCAGCGAGCCTGCTTCCTCCTCTCTCTGCCTGCCTCTCTGCCTACTTGTGATCTCTGTCTGTCAAATAAATAAATAAATAAATAAATAAATAAATTTTAAAAAAATAAAATAAAAGGCAACGATGACAGAATCTGGGAAATCTTCTTTCAGGATAATAATAGTCTATGACTCTGTTTTTCTTCTGCATAATCCTAGTTCTGAATGACAGAAACAGCTTATTCTTTCTTTTTTGTACTACTTTTGAAAGAAATTCTAATATCCTCATAGATTAATGGATTCCTAGTGTAAACTGGGGTTAAAGTCCTATAGGGGATAGACTGAAAAGAAAAATCACATGACATTTTTACAAATATTATCCCTTTACCTCTATAAATAAGCACAATATGGTGTGTTGCTATAAGAGGCACAGCGCATTACTGGTGTCTGGTCTTCATGATTCCTTAAGATCCCAGGTAATATAGACAGCACTTAGGCCAGTCAAATATTCTTACCTAGTCTATGCTATCTTACTGGAAGAAGCTTTAATGGTGATTTAATGTTATTTTTCCCCCAGATAACCAGAAGTTAGTGCCTTGGGTGAAATACCGGGTTAATTAATAGCCTAATTGCAATTTCTCTATCCAAGTGAGTTGCTAATTAATAGCCTAAATGCAATTTCTCTATCCAAGTGAATATTTGTCCTTCTTTAATTGTTGTATCTTTAGGGTCCATCAGTGTTAAACACTGAGATACTCAAGCAAAATTTAGTGACACTGAATATTTTCACCTAGATTCTGTCAAAAAGCTCAAACAGAAAGACTAAGTGCCTGTTCTGTTCTTCTAGGGGCAGGTTGAAGAGGTTGAGGACTGACAGAGAAGTCTGTCCTCTCCTATATAATACAGATGTCTTTGTATAGTAGGCAATATTTCTGTCCATAAGCTTCCTACACTTCTAGCCTTAGGAACACAAATCTGTCCGGGAAGGGAGTGGAGCACCTGAAACCGTTCTGTAATCTGCTAAACACTTAGCTGGTTTCTAGATGTCCTTTCTCTCTCTCTGTCTCTCAGCAACCTAAATTTATGCAGGAATACGAACTCTGCTCAGTTTTTGACAAATCCGTGGAAGGAGAGAAAGTTAATCAACATGGGGCCCGGAGGGTCTTTATGCTTGTTACCCTCTGTAAACTTGCTGTCCCTCAGGCGATAGCTCTCCATTGCTATGCCAGTGTAACATCATCAAGGTCACAGCCATCTGCAGCCAGGCCCAGCTCCTCCCTGACACCTCAAATCTAGCTGATAACAGACTCCCATTCCTGGCTTACTAATATTTGGATGAGCAAAGGTCTCATGGGTTTGACAAACCAGGAGAAATCCCGAGTGGCAGTCATCCAAATTCTGAAGATACAACAAAATCAACCCAATAGAGAACTTTGTATTCTGGAGACAGGTGTGGTAGATTCATTTGTCACCTAACCATCAGAGCACCATCCTCTGAGTTCACTTTAGTAGCTCTTGCCCCTAGACTCGGCGACAGACCCTCCATGACTGTGCAGCACAGACTGGAAGGGAGGCTCCTCAGGGAGACAGGACAGGCAGCAGTCCCTGCAGGAGCTGGGGTGCATTTCTGCTTGATTACACCACTTGCAGTAAGAGTCCTTTCAGTAAAAGCAGGGCATTTCCTCTTGATACTTTGCTTACTGAAACCCATGAAAAGGAAGAGTGAACCCACATCTTATGGAAAGAAGACATTACATCAAATAACAGGTCCAGGATCCAAATAGATTTAAGAAAGGGGCCTAATGCTCTTGACCTGTATGATAGTGGTTCTTCACTCTTGGTGTGTATCAGCTCACCTGGAGAACTAATAAAAAATATAGTGGTCCAGACTTACTGAAGTAGCATGAAGCCTACAACTCATAGTCTTACCAAGTTCCCCAGGTGATGCTGATAAACACCAAAACTTGAGAACATTGCTCTAGGGCGCTAGTTCTAAACTTGTCTATACATTAGAATCATCTGGGGAAGTTTATAAAAATAATGTTTAGGTCCCACCTCCAAAGGATTTGATTTGATAGGTCTGGAATATAGTGTAGATATCAAGTTTTCTAAAAAATATTTAATTATTAATTCACTTAAAAATAAATTCAATAAACTCATTTTTTATTAAAAAATTTTAAAGTATACTTTAAAAGTTCAGTGAGAAATATATCATTGTTTTACATTTTGGCAAATGTCTTTAGGCTAAATAGATGATACCT